CTCGTTGGAATCGTCTCAAAGAGACAAACATTTTGGTAGTAAAATCATTTAAAATGGACCAGTAGATCAAAAATTATTTAGCTTTAAAGTTTTAAAAAAATAAGTTTTTTTTTTATAAATTCCAAAAATCGGAGCATATGTACAATTAGTTATTATTAAAATTTAAAATAATTTTTAGTATAAATCTATTAATTTTATAAAATGAATAATCTAAAATCAGATTATATATATAGGGCGTACTATAGTTATTGACAAAGGAAGTTATCTCGAATATAAATAAATTAACTTATTTTTTATCAGCTCTATCCAGTGTAGCCTTTTTTTAATAAGTTTAATTTTACTTGAACTTTTAGATTTCTTCTAAGACAATAAAGCAGTAAAGCAAAGATTTTGTTTTAAACATAGTAATTGCAAAAATCAGAAATAATAATTATTTTATTAAGAAGTTATGCTTAATCATTTTATTTTAAACAACTTTTCTCATTACTTATTTAGTATAAATAAAATTGTAAACAGTTTTAATGACTAAGCAATACAATAAATTTTAAAACCCAAAACCCAATTTGTAATGTTCTTCAAATTAAATAATGAAAGTGAAATGACTATAAGTACAAATGAAAAAAATCCAATTCCAATATGTTACCATTTCTCCCGAGAAAAAAAAATAAATAAAAAATTACACTATACAAAAAATTTAGTGAAAAGTCTTTGTGTTTGTTATTCTGTTATTAAATATTAGAAATAGTTAAAGTATTTATTAACTATTTCCACTAACAACCAATTCAAAATATTTTTTCTTTAGTGACATCAATTCTCGATGAGTTCCAATTTCAGCAATTTGACCAGACTCAACAAGAGCTATTTTATCCATATTTTTAATATTGTTTAATCTGTGTGTTATAACTAATGTTGTTCTATTTTTTTGTACTCGACTTAAAGTATCTTGTATAACCTGCGCATTTTGAGAATCTAATGCACTAGTAGCTTCGTCTAATATTAAGATCTTTGGATTTCTTATTAAAACTCTAGCTATTGAAAGTCTTTGTTTTTGTCCACCTGATAATTGAGTTCCGCTACTCCCTAATTGTGTCTCATATCCATTTGGTAATGTGTTTATGAAATCGTGCATATTAACTTGTCTGGCTGCATTTTCAATCTCCTCAATTGTAGCATCTTCTTTTCCATACGCTATATTTTCCCGTACTGTTAGATCAAAAAGTATTGGTTCTTGACTAACTATTCCTATCTGTTCTCTAAGCCAATGAAGTTGAAGAGTTTTTAACGGTTCTTTATCTAATAATATTTTTCCTTCATTTGGATCATAAAATCTTTGAAGCAATGCGGCTACCGTAGATTTTCCATTTCCACTTCTTCCAACTAATGCTATAGATTCACCCGGTTGGAATTCTAAATATAGTCCATTCAATATCTTTGCATTTGGTCGTCCAGGATATGAAAAATGAACATTTCGGAATTCAATATTTCCTTGCATGTTATCAAGTTTTTTTCCAGACATTGTATCCTCTTCAGATAAACTAAGTATCCTTGCAACGGATTTTCCAGCTTGTTTACTCTTAGCAAAATATGGAATAGCTGCTAACATTTGTGAAGCCGCAGTAGTACAAAATATAACTAATGTCCAAACTTGTAGCATCGTTTTTAAATTATAAACTCCTTGAGATACTAATTGTGCACCATACCAAAATGTCACGGCTTTTGAAAAATAATCAAATGCTTCTAAAAATCCAGATGTAAGTCCGCAAACTAATGCTTTTCGAACACCAATTTTAAATGGAACTTCAAGTGCATCTTGAAATTTCTCTTCCATTGCTTTTTCAACAGCAAGAGCAAATACAGCTCTAATACTAGAAACAGTTTGATAGAATAAATTTGCAGCTTCTTCGTTTGCAGCCTTTTGTCTCTTTTCATATTTTTGTAAAACATATGCTTGTAATTCGGATGCACAGAGCAATATAGGAACTAGACCGAATCCTACTAAAGTTAATTGCCATCCAATAGCAAAGGCCCAAATCATTCCTCCAAGTAATGAGACAAGTCCATATGTCATATTTCCTATAAAGTGACCAATTAAACTTTTGGTTGTATCAGTATCATTAACAAGTATTGTTACAGTTTTTCCAACTGCATGATCCGGTTCATCAAACCATGATTGAGGTTGTCGCAATACTTTTCCGAATCCTAAATGACGTAATCTAATCGCCCATTGTTCCGAAGCTCTCTCAAGTAAATAATATTTATAATGAGCAGAAATTCCACTTACAACTGCTATTCCTAATACGATTAATGCGAAGATTTTAGCTTCTTGTTGAAGTAATGATTTGTCAGGAATAGCATAAGTATTGAGCAAACTAGCAAGAACAAATGAAAATAGTGGCATAACAAATCCATTAACGAGAGATGCAAATATACCAATGGAATATAAAATTCTATGTTGCATTGTATCCATAATCATTTTTATGAAACCAATACGTGGTTTTTCATTTGTTGAAACATTATCTTTGGTAGTTAAAATTTCTATTATACTTTCATCTTCAATTTGTTCATAATAACTTAGAATACCAAAATATGAAATCCGATTATCATTACGTTTTGAAATTGCCGCTAAAGCTGTACCATTAAGAACATCTGCTACATTGGTATCAAGACTTTCATCGTAAAAAGATTGTCGTGAAGATCGCCACCCAACTTGTGAAGTCATGCTTACTGATCGTTTTAAAAGTGATCCTGTCGGGATATTCTCAACGGTAAGAAAATTAGAATTTTGTTCCTTATTTTTATTAGTCAATAATAACGTATCAGAACGTTTTAATTTCATATTAATAAGATCTAATTGAGGAGTTTGTCTTTTCGGATTGGGTTTTGCCAATGATCCTTCGGCCAGTTTTGAATAATGTCCTTTGGGATTTTTGAGAAGGTCAGCTGGAAAACCATTTTCTACCACCTCACCATCGTAAAATACGTAAACAAAATCGGATTCTGATATATGAGATAGTTGATGAGTAATTACAATAGTTGTTCGACCTACACGGCTGTTTTGAAGTGCTTTTTGTACCATCGCTCGTGCTTTAATTAAAAATCCTGCTATTCTTATTCTTGGTAAGTAGATATTTCAAATATTAAATCATTGC